CCTGGCAGGGGTTGCCCCGAGAGGGGGTGGAGGCCCCATCCCTGGGACCGTTCCAGGCCAGGTTGGCCGGGGCTGTGAGCAACCTGCTGTGGTTCAAGGTGTCCCTGCTCCTGCAGGGGGGTTGGGCTGGGTGACCTCTGGGGGTCCCTTCCCACCCAAACCATTCTGTGATTCTATAAATACATGGAACGACAAAGACCAACAACAGCCATGCTCTCCGCACAAAGCCCAAGGGATGGAAGCAGGGAAGCGGCTCTGCCATTACTCATATTTTATTCTTTTAAGACTGTGGTCGGTGGAGCCGGGAGAGGACGCGTATGATTTTTCTGAAGAACTCTTTGGGCATCATGTTAGAGAACATTATTTTATGTCTTCAGAGGATTTTCTTACTTAAGCTTCAAGAAACATTACCAGCCTGGAACGCGTGCATCAGCCTAATGAGAGGGCAGTGGTGTCAAGAACAGAACTAAAATGATGAGCTTCCAGCGCCGGGAGCTTCCCGTGGAAATGCCAGGCAGCCCCCGTGACGCTGCTCCTGGGTGTTCAGAGCTTTCGCCTGTAAAGAAAACCAACCAAATAGGCAAGGACACCAAGTACGACTGGATCAATAAAATACCAAGGCCTCTGCGTTTAAAACCCCATGCAATGTAAAACATCTGCAGAAAATTGGTAGCAAGGAGTGCCAGGGGGCTGGGGAGGCTCCTCCAGCAGCCGTGCTGCAAACCTGCAATTATCCAGCAGGTTTCCGGAAGATCTCATCTCAGTCGGGAGAACACTGAGACTAAATCTTGCTTTGGAAAATTACTGTAATTGGCGCCAGCCCTAAGGACGGTTTGAGAGCTCTTATTACATTGGATGTTTTTATCCCCAAATGGGAGGGCGTTCGTTTTGGTGTCGGTCCGCTCTTCAGAAAACGAACCCCAAAATCCCCGTCTTGACAATCCCTGCATCCTCAGAAAACGTTACCGAGTGCCTTTGCCTTCCCTGGCCTTGCCTGCTGGCAGCAGCGGCAGCGCCGTCATCCCCGGTGCCAGGATTTGAAGGATTCGCAGTATTTTTGGCCGCAGAGAGGCACGTTTCCCGGCTGGATGCGGAGCCTCGGCGCGGGCTCAGGAGCAGCATCCACCCCCCCGGGTCTCCAGCCCCAGCGCGGGGGGGTCCCCGCCTCTCCCTGCTGCCTGGCCAGCTGGACCCGGGGCTGAGTCGCGCAGTACAGACTGACGGTCAGCATCCGTCTGTCCCGTCGGGGCAGCCGCTCGGTTCCACACACGTGCGGCTGTGCGCAATTCCCTTATTTCTGGGTAAATCGATATTTGGTCTTCGAGCTGTGCTGCTGCGCGTTGCTGAACGGTCTTCAGCGATGCCTTCTGGAGGATGCCTCTTAATCATGGCCACGGGGAAAGACAAAGAATGATCCTGGCAGGAATCTCTTACAGCTGTAAGAGTCTACTTTAGGAAATGAAAACCTCATTTATTCTTACGAATTTACCGTATTTTTATTTATAGAATGCCTTAAACATTTTTCATTTTAGGTTAAATTCTGTCAGTGTTTTTTTTTTCCCAATCAGAGAATGCCCTGAAAACTTGATAGCAAGGAGGGAGCTCATACAGCTTTGGAAAGGGTATTAAAAATAATCTGTCTGTCAGGAAAAAAAAAAAAAAAAGATTATTCAGTAGAATAATCCAAATAGGGCAGAGCAAGGCTGGAGAAGGCGCATGCGTGTTCTATCGGGAATAAGGTGCTGTTTGCTCTTGGTTTTCTGGCAGCTGCTGGACGGGCAGATGAGGGCAGCAAACATTTCCAGGCGTATTTCCGAGGCAGTGCGATATATTAACACGTCGCACGCGGTCTCTGAAGTTTCTGGGTTTAGCGATGTAGGCCGTCTGACAGTAAATGAATAAGGAGCAAGGATGTTTCATTCACCTGCAACTTGGCGTAGTACCCGACCTGCAGAAATACTCAACCTCCTAGCTTGCGTAGCCGGCGCCGCGTTGTGCGGCCTCCCCATCGGCAGCCCAAGGGATCGTCCTGGCGCGAGGCAGCGACCTCTGGGATGTTCTGCCAGGTCCAGCTCCCATGGGGCCAGGAGCTGTCCATGCAGCTTTTCCAGATACACCCAAGGGTTGCTCATGGCAATTTTTTAGCCTGACTGCACGTGAGGTCTCAACTTTCAGCTGAAAAATTATAGGTGTAAGCGAGCACTGAATCCCATTTTAGGTAAACGGTTTTAGCAGCGTCATTGACTGGGTTGACTGGAAGCCCAGGGCTGCCCACTCCCCGCGTGTAACCCTTGGTGAGGCTGGAGAGGTCGCATGCGGAAGAGATGATTCGCAGAAGCACGCTGTGGCGTTGGGCTTTATTTTGTGTGTTGGTGAGTGGAATTTGGGGTATAGAATCACAGAATGGTTGAGGTTGGCAAAGCCCTTTAAGCTCCCCCAGCCCAACCGTTCCCCTACCCCTGCCATCCCACCCCCAAACCCTGGCCCTCAGCACCGCCTCTGCCCGGCTGTTAAATCCCCCCAGGGCTGGGGACTCGACCCCTTCCCTGGGCAGCCCCTTCCAGTGCCTGACAGCCCCAAGGGGAAGGAATTTTTCATATTTTTTTATATAAATCCCTAATCTCCTGGCAAAAGGATTGAAAATCTCTCTCTCTGCTTTTCAATATTCCTTCGCTCTTTGGCTATATTAAGTAATTTTAGGAGCACAGCTTACTCACACATTATGTTCCAAAGACGTTTGTACGCTTGCATTTAACGCACACAACATTTTCCCCATTCTTTAGAGTGCGTTCATTTTTCTGTGTGGTAGGATCCTTAGGTTTTTATAGGAAAAATATTCAAGATCCACCCATGGAGTTGATTTCATTATAGAGCTCTTCGGTATTAGTTTTCAGTGTTGGGGGTTTTTTTCTTCCTAATTATTCCTTACGCACCAGTGCATAGCAGCCAGCCGGTTTAACTCATTTAACATAACCGTGCTCACGCGTTAATGGTCTTCCCCCCTGCAATCCCCTTTGGGGATTTCTCCCATAGCTTTGATCTGTGCGTATGGGTGCGAGATGTTTAATCCAACACCATCATCGCTAAACGCACATGGGTACCAAAAGAACCCCTTTAGGTGAAGAAATATTTTCTAAAATGAAGTAAATAGAATTATTAACATCTAAAGCATTTGCTTTCGGTGCTTATATCTCTGTAACCTGAGATTTTAGTTTTATTTTTCTCAAAACTTTAAAGAGTGTGATCTCTTATTTGGAGTTAGTTTTATGTATTTTGTCATACAAAGAATTGGTGAGGAAATTTTACCCCTGAGAATGAGCCGATAACCAGCAAGGCGGCGG